AGAGAGAGAGAGAGAGACAGAGAGAGAGAGAGAGACAGAGACAGAGAGACAGAGAGAGACGGGTGAGGTGAAACACGAGCCGAAATACAAAAACAAAAAGCGTAGCCTTTTCTCTTTTTTCCTTTGTTTTGCGCAGATGCAGACAGACAGCCGTGAGGTGGAGAGACAGAGAGAGTGAGACAGACAGACGGAGAGAGAGAGACGGGCAGGTGATCGTCTCTAGCTTTGCTGTTTGCTGCGTTGGCTAAGCACTTGCATCAGGTTGTTCTTCAGAGCCTCATGCTTCGATTTATCCGCCAGCATCTGAACGCTCCTGAAAAACACAAAAGAAACGAGGGAGGAGAGAGTGAGACAGGTTTATTTCGTCAGCGTACAGCTTTCTGGAGAGTTTTAAAATCAAAGACCTTTTTCAAGACCTGCACAAATAAAAACACCACATGCTGTTAAAGAACAAACCCATACAGCCTTAAAATAAATCCGGTATCTCAGAGGTTTACTTTATTAAACAGGCAAACTTACAACAGCAAAACAGACATATGTATTAAAGTTGTATTAAAATCAATTCACACAAAGTAGATCCATCCATATTGGATTTTGCTGATACGAGAATGAGTTTCAAGTAGTGCTGTCAAACGATTAATCGCGATTAATCTTATATATTAATATAAAATATAAGAATATAAATACACCGGGACTCTTATTTTGAAATGTTTAAGTCTTAAAAGTTCAGCTGCTCATTCAAAAAAAAGAAGGGAAATATGGGAACAACATACCAATAATTGTCAGTAAAGTAAAAAATGTTTTGCATAATGAGGGACTTCTTATCATAAACAAGCCTGAAATACAGCAGGACTCTTATTTTGAAATGTCTATGCTTTACTACTTCACCTGCTCATTCAAAAAGATGAAAGACATAAAATATGCACCTTATAACCATCTACAAGATATTATAATATAAAAACGGTAACAAACACTGTCAATTCGTCAATGGTGCTCAACAATGATTAATACTTTTATTATACTATTTACTTTTTATAGCTTTAAATTTGATCAAACCAAATGCAAGACTTTTAGGGCCCATGTAAACCCTGAGAAAACAACTCAACTGTGCAATAAAAAACTAACTTGACATCATAAACACTGCATTAAACTACAGTTTAAACCACACTGGAGGCTTATGAACACTCGTTAATATTGATGAGCAGTACCCAGAATGCACCTGCATGCAGTTAGTGTGTCTGTTAAGGAGGTCTGCAGGCGAACACACGCAAACAGCTCTGACCCTAGTCAATGTAGATCTGACGCTGGGTCAGAACCTGAGAGAGCTCCTGCTGCAGCTGACGGTACTTTTGATTATCAGGGAGAGATTCGATAGATCTGGAGCCCGACAACAACAAACCACAGACAGACAGAGAGTGAAAATATGAGGAAACCTCAACAGAATTCTGAATCTGTAATGAACCTGAATCTGTAATGAATCTGAATCTGTAATGAATCCGAATCTGTAATGAATTTGCAATGAATCTGACTCTGTAATGAATCCAAATCGGTAATGAATCTGACTCTGTAATGAATCAGACTCTGTAATGAATCAGACTCTGTAATGAATCAGACTCCGTAATGAATCAGACTCCGTAATGACTAACATGCAAAAAAATAAGAAATCAGGAAGGGGGCCAACACTTTTTCACACCACTGTATATACACACACACACACAGACACACTTGCACTTATATACTTGCGCAGCACTTAAAGTGCATAGTCCAAAACAAACAAAATAACAAATAATAAAAAAAAAAAGAAAAATTAATAAAATATAAATAAAAACAGATGCACTTAAATAATGAAAAAAGTATATCTATATGTGTTTTTAGCCTGTTGTTTCATGAGACGCTGCAAGAGACGCGAGCGCAACAGTCAAACGCGTTCATGATTACACAGAAAAACAATAGAAAAGCAGCGCAGTCGAATAAAAAACCTGTGAAGAACTGCTACTGTATGTCTGATATTTCATGTTTGCATCACGGTGACAGACTGAAAGCTGCTGTTGTTTTTACAGAACATTTATAGTTAATAATACTCTACTGCTGTTACACCTTCAGTCATTCTGAATTTGAATTACCTTGACTTAGGATTTTTATTATTTCTGAACATATGATATGTGTAAGACAAGTTTGTACAAGATGTAGTTGTAGTTCATGCATCCTTTCTGCAAAGATAGGCCTACTTAACAAGCGATCAGTTTAACATTTACATCATGTTGACAGCTTCATGTGTGCTGCACTCGGAATAGAATTTTCTTTAACTAGAGGGTTAATAAAGAACAAGTTACTTGAATCATGTTGTAGTTACATTTTCATGTCGACTAGTTAAAAAATTATTTTAAAAAATCAAGAATCGTTCCTAACTCTAGCGTTGGTGTTTTGAGTCATGTGACGTACCTCAGGCCGTTGACGATGTCCTTGGTCTTGCCGAAGTAGATCTCGTTGAGAGTGGAGTGGATCTTGTTCTCCATGTCCTGACACACACACACACACACACACACACACAGAGAGAGTTTGAGCGTGTGTATGACGAGACAAGAGCTAAACTAGCATCTGCGTGAGAGAATCACCTCCACCAGGCGGCCGATGTTAGCGATGTGAGGAGAGGATTCGCTGACCGTCTCGTCTTTCTCCATCTGAACACACACACACACACACACACACACAGGGTAACCCAAGGCGGTCACATGACCCCACTGAGTGCTATAAACAGAGCGGAGGTCAGAGCAGTACCTGTCGGGTGAGGCTGCCGCCCAGGTTCATGGTGCCGGAGCCGGTTTTGGTGGTCTGGAGCCACAGCATTACTGTAGATGTGAGTTTATAGTGAGCCGTGCGGCCGCTGGACTTCTCC